GTAGTAGTAGTAGTAGTAGTAGTAGTAGTAGTAGTAGTAGTAGTAGTAGTAGTAGTAGTAGTAGTAGTAGTAGTAGTAGTAGTAGTATAGCGCCAGAACCGCCGACGCCACGCCGTAAGTGAAGCAGCAGCAGAAGCAATAGTGGATGCTGTGCTGCGCTATGCTATGCTATGCTATGCTATGCTATGCTATGTTATGCTATGCTATGCTATGCTATGCTATGCTGCGCAATGCTATGCTGGGCTAGGCTTGGCTAGGCTATGACATGCGATGCTATGCTATGCTATGCTGCGCTATGCTATGCGATGCTATGATATGCTATGCTATGCTATGCTATGCTAATGTTGCGCTAAGCTAAGTTAAGCTGGGCTAAGCTAAGCTAAGCAGAGCTAGGGTAGGCTAAGCTACGCTAAGCTAAGCTAAACTAAGCGAAGCTAGGCTAGGCTAAGCTAAGCTAAGCTAAGCTAAGCTAGGCTAAGCTCAGATGAGATAAGCAACGCCAAGCTGAGGGAACGTCACTGGGGGAACCACGGGGCGGATCCTGGGGGAACCGCCCGGGGCGGGGAGCACTGCCTGGCCCTTTAAGCATACAGGGTAAAGAACCCTTCTAGGCAGAGCCTATGTAGGGAACAAAACAAGTCTCACTGCGCTCGAGAGAGAGAGGAAACATAACACGAGAGCGCGATCAGTTTGGCCTGCAAGTGCGTGAACAGCACCATCTATACATTATATATATATATATATATATACAGATCAGAGGGAGGGAGAGAGCGAGAGAGAGAGAGAGAACAAATGGACCTGGCGCGACCCCAATTAGAAGCAAAGCTTCATATTGCATGGGCAGTGCTTGGCATTGCTTGGCATTGCTTGGCAAGGCCCGGGGAACCCGGGGAGCCCGGGGGGGGCCCCCGGGGAACCCGGGGAACTCCGAGGAACGTCATGGTAAAGAAACAGGACCGAGGAACCTGAGGAAGGCACTGTAAAGAAACAAGGCCGATGAACCCAGGGAGCCCCGAGGAACGTCACTGTCGATAAACAAGACCGAGGAACCCGAGGAAGGGACTGTAAAGAAACAAGACCGAGGAACCCGAGGAACGGCACTGCAAAGAGGCAAGACCGAGGAACCCGAGGAAGGTCCGAGGAACGGGCAAAGTCTCCCCCCGAGGCACCGTTCTTGTTAGCCAAGCAAGCACCCCTCAGGCAAGCCTAATTGGGGAAACAGTCCGAGAGAGAGAGAGAGAACAATAAAACACAAAAAAGGACAAACGTGAAAGCGGTCGCATTCGCCTCCCCCTTCTCTCTCCTGCCCCTCCGCCCTCCTCCCCATCCCGCCAGCCCCCCCCCCGTCACCCAATGGCTCCCGTGTACTGTCCCATCCCTTCCCCCCTCCTTCTCCCCCCCTCCCCACCCGTTTCCTCTCCATCCTCCCCCGTCCCCTGCTCTCCTGCCCCGAGTGTCGCTCCCCCTCTCTCTCTCTCTCTCTCTCTCCCCCCCCCCTCCCGCCTTCCCCTCCTCTCCCCCGTTCCTCCACGCTCCTCCCCCCGCTCCCCCCCACCACCCCTCTCCTCTCCCGCTCCCCCTCCACACCCCCTTCGTCTCCCCCTTTCCCCTCATCCTTCCCATCCCCCTCTCTTTCTCTCCGCTACCCCATTGGAGGCTCACATTCCCTCCCTTCCCATCCTCGCCGCTCCACCGCCGCCATCCCTTTCCCCCGCCCCCCTCCGCCCCCCTTCCGCCCGTCCCCGAGCCGCACTCCGCGCCCGCCGCGCAGGGCGCGGCGGACCGCCGGCAGCGGGCAGAGTGGACCGGCAGTGCCGGCGCGGGGGCCAGCGCTGTGTCGTCGTCGTTGTCGTGTCGTCGTCGATCGTCGGTCGTCGTCGGAGGAGGAGGAGGAGGAGGAGGAGGAGGAGGAGGGGAGGCGGAGGCGGAGGGAGGAGGAGGTGGGAGGGGGGGAGGGGGGAGGAGGAGGGAGGGAGGAGGAGGAGGAGGAGGAGAGGAGGAGGAGGAGGAGGGAGGAGAATGAGGAGGAGGAGGGGAGGAAGGGGGAGGAGGTGGGAGGATGAGAGGAGCGACGGGTGACTGAGGGGGGGACGTATGAGTGTCGAGAAGACGAAAACAGAGGGGGAGGGCGGAGGGGGAGGAGGAGGAGGAGGAGGAGGAGGATCAGGAACATGTGATACTCGAGTAAGCCAGAACTCGGTTTTGCCGACGTTATTTGACGATCGCGTCATGGATTTTTACGGTCCCGTTTTCGATGGATGTTTGCAGTGGGAGCTCGCGTCAAAATTTTGATTGGGTCTCGTCATTTCTATGATGGCCCCGTCGGGCCAAACCGAGTTCCCTGAATCCGTGTCTTACGTCTTTCCCAGAGAGGAGGAGGAGGAGGAGGAGGAGGAGGAGGAGGAGGAGGAGGAGGAGGCG